ACAAATATATATTCATGTGTATATATATTAATTCAAAATGTGTCAAATTGCCAGGTATTATACTCGATATTCAACAAATCTTTTAGTTCTAACTGTATATTTTAGGATAGAGCTAAGAATTTCCATATTTACACCTTCGTTACATATTTGACAGCCATATAGTAAGTTGGTGAGATGAAAATGGTTATGGTTTCCAATAAGTTCAAGTTCATTTTTTAGTAATGCTCTTTGGACTGAAAACAGAGGACAGTGAAGAAAACAATGTGAGACAGTTTCATGGTTTAAATCACAAGAACACATAGGATTATCTTTTAAATGATCAATATATAGGTCAAAATTTAAGTTGCTACATCCATTTCTAAGCTGACAAAGTATGATATTACCCTCCCTTGATCCTTTATTTTTGAATACATTTAAAACGCTCACATCTTCCTCTTCCCTGATATTTGACATGTTTATAAGTTTCTTAAAAATGTTAAGGGAGGTTGCTTGTACTGTAGTAGGTGAGGGTTTATTAGACTCTCGGAGCATTGAAGGAAAAAAATATGATAGTAGTTGTTTGATCTACAGGGTGGAGGGCTAAATATTCTATTTCTACGCAATGAATGCATATTTGCTTCATTATTGTAAAAAAAGGGACGATTGATATTTAGTTCAAATCTACTGGCCCGTTCAGGACAAGTAACGTTTTAAAGGAAATGTTGACGGTCGATGGACGGACGACCGACGCTACACCATGGCATAAGCTCTCTTGCCCGTCAAGCAGGTGAGCTAAAAAGTGGACGCCAGCCGTACGACGGACGCCGCTCCTCTGCATAAGCACACTTGGCACTTCGGGCAAAGAAAGGAGGCGGAGGCTTTCACCAAACTAATAAATCTGGCAAGAATTACTATTTACAACCGGAGACGGTACCACGAAATTCAAGCCATGAGGTAATAAAGTAATGTTTGTTTTTTGCTCAATTCTTTTTCAAAATATTAATATTTTGCTACCTTTTTATCACAAATGTATGGAAGAGCATTGGTTTTATGTTGGGTAAAGTAGCAGTTGCCACTTGAATTGTGTGAGAGCTACGCAATAACATGATACAAGGCAAATTCAGTCCGACCTGTGTGTTTGATACATGGGATATTTGGCGATTGTTTCAAAAACAGATCTTTTTCTATATTCCAATTTTGTAACATTTGTTAAGTCGAAACATACCAAAAATTAACGAACTTGATAGAAAAAAGAAAGTATCATCAAGGCAATTATTTTTAACAAGCATTTTTTGGGGCCTGGAATTGTTGGCTTTTGTTGGATTAATTATGTTTTGGCAAAATTTGGGGCCTGCTTTTTTCACAAAAAATCTAACTAAGGTCCAGCTTATGGGGTCCAAAGATTCAAGGTCAAGGTCAAGTTTTGTATTTTTCACTGATGAACATTTTGTTGTGATATTATGAAGCAAGATTTGTCGGAATTAAAGAATAAGTCAACAGACCAAAGATCAGGGTAACTGGGTTAAAGGTCAAGGTAATTTGGGTTCAAAGGTCAAAGACAAAGTGGATCTCTGTCTTTGACCCTGGCTCTTTATGGGGGAGGTGTTTAAGGTGAAATAAAACTAAGCTAACAAATGAGTATAGCACTGGTGTTTACATTTCTGTAAGCCCAGCAAATATGGAGGAGGTGGGAGGAAACAAGACTCACATCATAGTACATCTAAAATGTATATTTCGCTTCCTTTTGATTCTTTTTGAAGTCCAAATGTCAAACGTCAAGCTCAGCTATATTGGCAGATTGCTTCTTCATAATTATTGGGGATATATTGCCACAAGACGGGGCCCTTACTGACCTGTCAGAGTTCAAGTTCATTTTCGCATGCATTTTTACTCAATGGTCTTGTTACAATCATTGTTTTTTGGTATTAATCATACAAGCTACAATTACTGTAAAATTAGTAAAGTAAATTTAGAACAGCACTGCTGCATCGTCATCATCAAACGTTGTAGAGACGTTTGGAAGTCGCGGACGACCAGACGAAGATGTTTTCCGGATGTTCTCCGGACGTAGTGTGTGCTCTTGGATGATTGTGTTTATTTCCTCATGGAAAAGTTAGCACTTGTTTATATGCCAGAAATCTGAATATTTACCATTCATGAATGAAAGATGGTCGAGTTTTTAAAGAGCCCATCGGACACTTTGGCAACAATAGATTATTACATTTTTACCTTTATTGCATGCAAAAGAACTAAGGGTCAAATTAGTATTGTTCTTTTCTTCATGTAAAGCACATATGTGGTAATAGTGTGTTGACCTGGACCATTTCTAAATTATGACTAAAGAACAGTCCATAGGTGAAAATCGCAAATATGCACGTCTTCTCATGTTAACCAATGTTATTAATAGTTATTCGTTGACGATGTTAAACATTTTCATGTTAGCATCAATGGACTGGATTACACGTATCAGTGTTAGGCCGGACTCGTTGTTATTCCTTGCAGAATATTTGATAACCCGTTGAGCTCACATTTCTTTTAACAATTCAAATTCCAGTCGCATGCAAATGTTTCACATCAGATATGATGAATTTCCTTCTAGTATTTCCAGAAGAGATGTCGCTTCAAAAAATGTTTGTTTGTTTGTTTGTTTGATTTTGTTTAACGTCCTATTAACAGCTAAGGTCATTTAACATTTAAACATACTGCCGAAGACACCGAGCAGAACGCCTCACCCGGTCACATTATACTGACAACGGGCGAACCAGTCGTCCCACTCCTAATTTGCTGAGCGTTAAGCAGGAGTAGAAACTACCATTGTTAAAGACTTTGGTATGTCTCGGCCGGGGACAGAACCCAAAGCCTTCCTCACAGGGGCGAACGCTCAACAAATGGCCAAAAGTGAGGCATTGTCAAGGGAGACATTAGGAAGAATAAAGTTATTTAGAAAGGAGAGAAGAGATAAAGTGTAACAACATTTTCCTTTTTAGCCCAGCGTCTTTAGCGATAAGCCTAGGGATGTTCTCTCTCAAGTTTTGTGTTTAAAGAAGATGGTCGCTGAAAGAAATTATCATTCAACAGACGAATGGACGACGGACGCTTCGAAACGGCATACACTTATATCTATGAAAGGTTATCGGGACACAAGTAAAAAACTTGATTATGTAGGGGATCGGTTATATACAACAGACCCTAGGACATAAGCGGTCACCTGAGAAATATAATAGGTTCAGGTAGCTCAATTTCATTGTTTAGATGGTATGTGAAAATCAACATGTAAACATTTTTAAATAAAATACTTGTCATGTCACCAAAGGAAAGGAACTTTATTCCACAACTATTGAATTAAACTATTTTACTATTGAGAATTATAATATATATTGTTTGTTAGCCAACTCCGGGGATAGTTCAGGATCTCACTTCTGATACTATTTGAGTTTAACTTGTTTATACTTATTCCAACTAAGGATGAATTATTTCTTGCTGAAAATGGACAAGATATCGTCAGAAGTGTTATTTCCAGAAATAAACCAAGGAGAACAGATGACTGAAGGGTAATTAACAATTTACTTAATGCACCTACGGGTATTTCCATCCATACAAGAAACGTGAACCCTGCACATCCGAGTGCAAAACTCTTATAAATAACATACATTTCCCCCTTTTCGGCCCTACCTTTAAGCCTCTGGGGCAAGAACGGATCTCATATTTGTACCGTCTAAGTGCCACTTTATCACAATTATTCCAATCAAGTTTGAATAATTTATTGCCGAGATCAGACAAACTATACCAAAAGTGCGATTTGCCGGGGACTTATATAAACTATAGCGAACTAATTACCCTCTCCCCAAGGGAGAGCAGATAATCTGGGGAGTGATAAAAAATACAGCTTAAATAAAGCACCAAAAGACCTTTCAATCCATGAAGAGTATTTTTTTGTTAAACATCTGAGTCAGATGAAGAAGGATTTTCTAACCTTTTTCCCCAGTTGGGCCCCACCCCTCCAGTCCCTTGGGATGACTTAATATCTTCCCATGCCATCTAATTGCCATCTGGCATCATAATCATTCCAATCAAATTTGATTAATTTTCTGCTGAAAATGGACAAAATACATCCAAAAGATTTATTTTACTATATAAACTACAGTTAACTTTACCTAATTCCTAAGGGAGAATGGATGGTTTGGGGGTACTGAATTTATAAAACAGTTAATGCACCTGGTGATCTTTCCATCCATGCACAGAATTTGATTGTAGCACATCCTAATCTTGAGAAAGAATTCATGAAATATGGGGCAGGGCAATCCCAATTTTACACTTTGATACCATCATACCAAGTATGATGGATTCTCACCAAGTAAGAATAATTTCCTGCTGGAATTTTTTAGACAAAATACACCCAAAAGTGTTGTTTCCCTATATGAACTATAGTAAACTCCCCCCCCCCTAACGGAGAACGGATGGCCAGGGGGTTCTGAAATTTACAATTTAGTTAAAGATCTGTCCATTCATGCACAGAAGTAGACTGTGTACCTCAGAGTTTGGATAAGAAGATTTTTAAAGTATTGGTTAATTTCACTTTAGGGGCCCGCCCTGGCCCCTGGTATTAGGGCAGGAATCCAAATTTTACTATTTTATACCATTTCCCTCCAAGGTTTATTTTCACCAAGTAAGAATAATTTCCTACAAAAAATTGACAAAATATATCCGAAAGTGTTATTTTCCAATATAAACTACAGTAAACCTTACCCCCTCTCCAGCGGAGAACGGATGGTATGGGGGTACTGTAATTTACAATTAGTCCCTGATGATCTTTCCATCCAAGCAGAAAAATAGACTGCAGTACCTCTAAGTCTGAATTTGAAAAAAAATATAAAACGACGGACGGAAAGAGATCAAAATATGCCACTTGGTCAAAGAGACTTAACACTGCCAATTACAACCAGGCAATTTGATACAGCGGGCCTGTCATTGCAGATAAGAGGTGAAAAATGGATTGTGTTTTAAAAGAGGAGGTCACCTACCGTCCAGGGTCCGTTTGCTGTGTCCATCTCGCAGTACACGTCGAAGCTGACTCCCGGTGTAGGTGTAACTCGGTAAATACCTGAGCAGTAGACAGCTGGGTTAACCTCACTACAATCAGCGGGATCTACAACGAAGCAGGCTGGTTTAGTTTTAGTTTAAATTAATTTTGTTTAACGTCCTATCAACTACTAAGGTCATTTAAAGCGACTATTAAGTCAAATGACAACCAGAAGCGTAAACACAGATCACTCATTATAATGATGATCGAGATGATGTTGGAAGATGATTTTGATTCAGAATAAATACACGTACTTGTATTCCAGAAAAAAAGCGAGGATTAACCGTCTCTCCTCGATTGGAAAGAGGTAAAACATGCGGCTGTACAGTTAAGGTTTTCTCTATTGCTGATTAAAACGCCAATAAAGCATTGCCTCCTGTCATTTTCTCGACATGTATGGTTCATAAGTATTATCAAACTATATTATCAAAATTTAACAAGGTTGTGACTTTGCTAAAGAGTCCCTGTATGCCTACATGGGTGTATGTGTGCTGGAGACAGGGTTTGCTGGTGTATTCGACTCCTTGCGATCATGTGGATCTGATATCGACTGAGAACTTCGGTATGTCCCGGCCTGGGTATAGCACTCATTGTCTTCCTCACCTCGGTAAACGCTCAATATTTAAGCCAAAAATAAGGTATTGCCAAGCAAAGCGTTAGGGAATGAAACGTAGATAGAAATATAAAGATCCCATATTTTGCAATCCGTGCAGCAGATGTAGTATAGGGAACAAAAAGAAAAATCCCCAATTCATAATTCATGTGTGCTTTGTAAGTGTGCATGTCTGTATGTGTGTCGGAGACAGGGTATGTTTGTTTTCCTTTTTCCTTGAGATAGCGCGGATCTAATGTTGCATTCATAGTGCTATCTCACTGAAATATTATGCCGAAGGCACTCGGCACAGCATTCCACCCTGTCGCGTTTTTGTCCCCCTAGTAACGGGCACAAAATCAAATCCACAATTCTCACGTGGTTCCCTTATTAGTCGTCTCTTAAGACACAATATGCAGTGGGTAACAGTATATACTTTTCTCGATCCCCGTGTACATTTTTAAAATGTATATTTTATAACTGCTTGACCTAATGTAAAACTTTACAAGTGTAAATAAATACTATCATTATTATCTCACGGAAATATATGACGAAGGCACCCACACAGCACAGCATTTCGCCCGGTCATATTATACCGACAATGGGTGAACCAGTACCAAACAACCAATCAGGAGTAAGTTAAAAAAAGAATGAGTGTGGTAAATATCCTTCTTAATAATACATGTGACTGGTCGGATCGTTATTGTCAATATATACTACCACTAATTCACATTTAGTACGTAAGCATGCAGGCGAATCTGTTTTATGGTAATAATGATTGTTAAGACATTTCATTTAGCCGATATCAATAATCCCTGTGGTATATTAATATTAATATACAATTGGTTTCGATGTTTTGGGATTACTTATCGTTTTCATTGTATTAGAAAACTAGAAATCCACATTAACTGGATTCGCTCGCACAGAAATATTTATCGATACACGAACATCATTTTGAGCTGGAACCCATCCCATCTTACCCCAATCGAATGTTGCCCATGGCAACAACAAGTACACGCATGAGAACAAATCTTATTAAAAGTTGAGTATGTTGAATTAATCAACTCCAGGATAGATATATTAATTAGTTTAGGTTGGACTCTTCCTTTCTGTCAAAAGTCTCTTGAGATGTATTCTATCATATTGATCGCGTTTGTTTATTGACACATGGCATATTTTTGTAATATTAACTTTAATTTCTAATGATGATAAAGGCATATACCAAACAGGGACATCTTTTATTAAAAAAAACACCCCAAAAAAGCATTTTCGTGTTTTAGATGTCTTCTTTTGCTTAGAGCAACTGCGACATTCTGATATTATGAACGCCTAGTCTCCAGCTCGAATGAACATGTTAATACATACAACCTACTGTAACCCGATTCATACCTCAAAACATTTGCCCAAAAGGGAGTGAAACAAATATATAGTTCAAGATGTCACTTTTTTCTCCTTTGACTTTAAATTCATCAATCTATAGATATTACAAATATGTAGATAAACAAGAGATCTCAGAGGGATCTTTGCGCCACCATTGTACCATCTTCGTTAGTTCTATGTCAGTTTGATATTTTCTCTGATAATTTTGATTGAGTCATGTATACAGTAAATACACCTTGAGGTAACTTTTGATCTTAACTTCAACATATAACTAGTACAGTACTTAATCTGAGAAATAGAAACCGATCATTTCAATATGAGAAAGATGTAAAGCTATTCCTGCTACCATTTGTAGTTACTTTTAGGGAGAAAAAAGATCACCACTTATATACTTGACATGTACTGTTTTAGTCATACGTTTCACCTGGAAAAAGGACGTACTACTGACACCATTGGTCTTGACTCGTTGATCTGGGGCTACAAATAGACTACCATTTGTATTTGTATTTGTATTGGCGCTTGAGTGGTCCTACCATACATGGTCACTCGTTTTAACATGAAATTAGTTGTTATTAGGATCCAAGCAACCTTAAATGGCTAGACCAATATGGCAGGATCAAAGAAATCGGGCCAGGGCCCATATTCATGAAACTGTTCTCATGCCCAAACTCAGATTTCTTGCTCAAGCCCATATTCTTGTCTTCGTGGAGCGACATTCAATCGAATGCTTTTTTAAAATGTTTACATTGGACTATTTTTTTATCTGGTATCATGATTTACGCAAGTAGCAGGAGAATGGCTTGAGCACTGATTTTGTGTCTGAGTATGAAATATTTTGATGAAGACGGTCCCAGATTGACGGGAAAATTTGTCGGGTGATCAGAATATCTCCCACATTAGGACCATATGTATGCTTCGCCAGCAGGAGTGACTTAAATATGTAAGTATAACTTGACCATATTTTTTTGTAAAATGAATCAAGCGTATTTAAATAATGAAATCATATACTGTTAAAGGTCCAACTGAAACATTCCTTTCTGTTCTTTTTCTTTAAAAACTAAAACTGTTAGCTAAATGCGAACTTATACCTCCTCCCAGCTCCTATATAAACCAGAACTGTCAGCTAAAGGCAAACTAAGCAAAGCATTGCAAAACAATTGTGTATGTGTATTCCCTCCCAATGCCAAAATATACTTGCAAACAAAATCTTGTTAGCCCAGATGAACAAGTTTTGCTAAAAACGTCATAGCAGTTAAGACTTTTAACAAACGACAATAACTCCTTCAAAAAGGAAAAAGGTTTAATATCTGGATGCACAACGTCAGGGAGTATATATCATATCTGAAAACTTCCGCTGAACTGATCCATAACTTAAGAAGGTGTTGCCCGGACAACACGTTTAAGGACTTTTTCAACAAGGGGCCATACATTTGCAAAAAATGGGTCAAAATGAATAAACAATATCTGGAAGCACAACTTCGGATGGTAGTCATCATAGCTGGAATGCTTCATTGCAATTGGTCCATTACTTTAGAAGGAGTTGTCCAGACTAACTTTTTCTACGGACAGACAAGCTGATTCCAGTATACCCTCCCCCCCCCCTTACCTTTGTTGCTGGAGTATACAAACACTTACTACTATGTAACTCCCTATCCATCTTCGCAAACATCATAGCTTTCGTTGACTTTGATGCGGTGTCATTTTGACAAAACATCTTGGCGAACGTTTTGCATTCCTTGGTCTGGGGGTCAAAGGTGAAGGACACACAGTCTGTTTTACAGACCTTGGCACAGTCCACATAGTTTGTTTTATTGTCGTAAGTTGTAAGTATGTTATTGGCGTACTCCTCCGTTGAGACTCGAAGCACACGTGCAAATGAAGATGCTGAATGTTCACGCGTGTAAAACGCTAAAACTAACCACAAGATTGATAAATCCATGCTGAACTAGTGAAAGTTATTTGTCAAAAAGTTGAATTAAGAGGTTTAATGCCCCCAACAATTAATTCTTTGAATATATCTTGTCGAGGATAAATGTAAATATGTCCTAGGTTACATCTATCAAACGTCAAAACATAATATCTGACCGCAGCAACAAATGTTTCATACTCAATTATGAATCACTGAAAAATATGTAAGGAACCTGAAAATCTTCCTGTGTTGTTGGGACGATTAAGTACCGGAACAAAATTGTGTCAAATTGAGTTAAATTAAAGTCTTCATTAACTTCGCCAAGTCTTAAATTATATCCACCAAACCTTATAATGAGCCTGTCTCAACACATATTGGTAATGCAAGTTCTAGTTATGAAATGGTCGATAAACAACTCTCAACTTTCCCGATCCCAAAAATGTTATGCAGATATCTCCTCTGTTTATAGATACACCGTTTTCGAGTTAATTAATTTTGTGAAACCCAAACGCTCCTCTCCTCAACGACCTAAACTCTAATGACTACGAATCATCGGTTAGTTGTATGAATATTAAATATGATATCCAGGATATTCCGGCAGAAGTGTCGTTGTATTTGATCACACAAGCGGACGTGTTAATTTTTAATTATTATTATTAGTATCAATGCTTAACGGCCCATCAACACAGGATATGATATTAGGGCCAACACATGGTCGACAAAAGACCAGTTGTTGAAAGTCTTGTTAGTTTAACGTAACTTTTTTTTTAAGTCTGTAATTAATGAGATGATGAATTGAATTTGCGTTGGTTTCCTGATAAACATTCAGAACATGAATACGAGTAAATGCACGTCACTGGTTTCTTTTTACATATATTGTGCACCGATTCGCCGTTAAAAAATACAAATGCGCAACCAGCCATTTGCTATAAAGCCCGAGTCCCTGTACTTAGTCAAAAGGTTTATTCATCTATAATTCATACTACTCTAACAATATTTTCTGTCGGGTGAAGTAGAGTTCAAGTGATATGTTAATGCGTTTAGTTACAAATGAAAATATGAACGAACTGTTGCCTATTGCTGTATTGCCTTTGTTTATGTGACGTTATTTGTACATTTTAATGCACAAAATAGAAAAATATATAATAGTTAAGGTCACATAAATTTGGTTTGTTTGTTTGTTTGTTTGTTTGATTTTGTTTAACGTCCTATTAACAGCTAAGTTCATTTAAGGACGGCCTCCCCTGTGTGCAAGATGCATGCGTGTAGTGTATGTGTGTTTATTTTGTGAGGCTGCGATATGTTCTTGTTCGTCTCCTTGTGATAGCGCGGAACTGATGCCGACTTTATAGTGCTACCTCACTGAGACATACTGCCGAAGACACCCAGCAGGACGCCCCACCCGGTCACATTATACTGACAACGGGCGAACCAGTCGTCCCACTCCTAATTTGCTGAGCGTTAAGCAGGAGTAGAAACTACCATTTTTAAAGACTTTGGTATGTCTCGGCCAGGGGACAGAACCCAAAGCCTTCCTCACAGGGGCGAACGCTCAACAAATGGCCAAAAGTGAGGCATTGTCAAGGGAGACATTAGGAAGAAGAAAGTTATTTAGAAAGGAGAGAAGAGATAAGGTCCCAAATTTAGTCGCCTCTTACGATCATGCAATTGGGGGCAGCAGGTACAATTCTTACGCCCTACCTGCAGGGACACATAAATTTGGTCGCTAAGGGCGGGAATTCAAAGTGCCTTCTTGCCAAAAACATAATCTGGACACTATAAACTGGTACTTGCCGCAGTGATAAAATTCATTTAATTTAAGTATTTTCTGCAGTATAAGTTTGAACGTTTCGAAGAATCATAGGAAACGGTGATAAAGAAACGATTATATAATAAAGATAGATATTGGTTTTGATTGTTGGGCATATATAGTCCAATCACGGTATCACTCCGCTATAATGCATTGCTTTCTACATGCCAAGCGATATTAACCATACTGTGTACATTGTATGATAAATATGTAACGGGTACAATTATTATCAAGGTATTTTTTTCCAGATGTCGGTAGTTAGATGTAAATATATGTGCATTTCAGTGATTATTTTATGTACAACATCACTATTTGGAAAACAATAGATTGAAACCATTTCAAGATGCCTTACAAAGATAAAATAACAAAACTTTAAAAAGTGTATCCGTTTATTAGTTAAAAGGGTTATATCTCATTTTTTTACCTAGACCATGTTGTGTGATAAAACTGGATCATATCTAGTCCCGGGTATCTATACACGTCTCTGTAGTTGTCGTGTAGTATCTAGACGACCAACTTTCTCCAAAACCTGAATTTAAATCATCATCTGTGATTAGACAACTAACGTTACTTCGTCCATCTCCGGGTATTGTATCGTGATGTCCTAATTTGCAATTGGATTCATCTGTTCTGTAAGGAACCTTCACTGTGACTCTACATAATCTTTTCATGTTGCCATCACATCATATCGGATGTTGGATAAGCTGTCAAAATTGGTTTGTTTCAAAGCATCGCTATCCGTGCATTTTCTTGCTTTCTCTTTACTAAAGAGTGAACACCTTTTGGAGTGTCCACTGTTGTCTTCTAGGATTTGCTTAGTTCCTTGTGTTTCAGGTGCACCTATGTCGACGGCCCATTTCATTTGCTCTCTCTAACAAGCACCTGTTCATCCTCTCCGGTTCCACATTTTTCGAGTACATCCTCAGCCTCCCACAGTTTCTCAAAGAAGAAACAAATGAAAGGTCGTAATATCACTAATTACATGTCCCTTATTCAATGTTAACCAGCCCTATACACTAGCTAGTTTTTATGGGTAAAAGGTTGTCTTATAAAAAAACCACTGGAACTCGTTATCTTCGTATTTTTCGTGCTTATAATAATATATTTCTCTAAACACGCTACAATGTACCGTATTACTTTAAAACTAAGTAATTCATGTTTTGTAAGGCCCATCACCGATAATAACGTGACACACAATATTAAGTAACCTGGTACACTCCACGGCAAAATGGATACACATGTATATACACAACATAAACATCCAACCGTTATTAACTAGTATTACGTATTTTTATTCGACAGTTGAATGTTGTGACTCAATAAGACTTGCTAAATGGACCCAGGACCTGTGATTGTTTCTGTATAGATAGATAATATATACCGAGTACAATTGTGGATGAGCTCTCATCTCAGCTACTAATTACCGCAGTGATTGTCTGACCGTGAACAAAAACATTAACCCACCAGCGTGACAAGGCTGGAGCAGTTGATCAGTCGTTCAGTGATCTAAATTTAAACAGTGTGGTGTCGTGTGGCCCGTTAGGCGGCGCTGATCAAATAACGACAGTCGCGGTAACCCCACGAGACTTCGATAACTGGTAATGACAGCCCCCAGGAAAAATCAACAAGGACGATTTTTCAAGACCAGTGCCGATACAGACGACAACGTTCATCGCGAAATTGTTGATCTACATTACAAGGGCTTAACTTACCGAGAAATCAGTCAGAAAACAGGTGTGACAAGCGGAGGGTGTCACAAGATCGTGACGAATTTCATGACGCGTGAGAATTTAGAGAAACCGTATGTGGCGCCGCGGAATGAGAGCGAAATCAATCACGAAGTCTTACAGTTTATTGAATACGAGAAAGTAAAACAACCTTCTATATGTAGGCCCGGAAAAAGGAGTCATCTGTTAGACACAAATATATGTACGATTCAGACTCTTCCTTCAGCAAGTTGAATTCGACATGCAGTGACACAGACATTGGGGTTGACACAAAACGTTATCCAGCGTATACCATCAGAAACAATTACTGTCGCCCATGAAAACCGCGTAGATGATTTCATTGCTCGAGCTATGGCCTTTACACCCCAGCAACTCCCCTTCTTTGACGAAGCTTCTGTTGTGAGAACTGCGGGCAATAGAAGATATGGACACAGTGTGAAGGGCACGCGGGCAGTTGAGGTGCAAAAATATGCAAGTAACGCTACTTTTACTGTTAATCTTGCTTGTGGGTACTTCGGAATTGATCATTACGACATTATAAATGGCGTACTGGTAGTAATGGAGATGGTAAACATGATGACTACATGCAAGCAACCAACACATTGGGGAATCCAATATTAGCTTATGGTGATTGTGTCATAATGGACAATTGTGGGTTCCACCACCAGAACCAAGCAGAACGAATGCTAAGGAATATGCTGGGTACCAGAATATCACTCTTCTGTTTCAACCACCCTATAGTCCAGAGTACAACGTTGCAGAAAACATCTTCAATTTCATGCGTAATGGTTTATAAATTAACAGAGACTTCACATATGAATTTACAGAACTCTCAGTTGTGAATCATTAAATGCTATTCCTGATTCTGTTTTCGCTTAACTGTGTGGCAAATGTGGATATGTGTAGTTTGTTCGTCAAATTTTTTTTTTGCCAAAAGATTACATAATTGCATTTATATTATAAATATTTTGGCAAATGAACGAACATTACTGTCGGTACATGATTTAAATAAAACAACTTTCTACATAATTATTGCAATATAATATTGATGTGCAAATTTGTAACTGAAAAATTTAGTTAGATGATTGTAGCTGACGGTTGTATAGTTAATGTATGGTTTTGATAACAGTAAAATTTATAATTAAATATATTCATCCAACTTTGAATGAATTTTTTGTCATTGCATTATTCTAAACCGAAAAGCTACGATTTGTAGAATCCAGAAATAAACCTTGTCTTGGTACCTGCAGGAATTCAAATGAAACCTGCATGGGCTAAGGTCAGGAATTAATAGAACCCACCAGGAGAGTGTTTTCATGAAAACAAGTCCACATTTCTACATGTGTGTCTCGTGTTGCTACTGTTCTATTTTCAGTAAGGGCTGTTTCAGAGTTATCAGAGAAGGGTGGTAGGCATTTTTTCAAAGAAAAAAGCACCTTATTAATATCAGCCAAGGTACATCTATACGTGTACACATAGGATGAAACCCTACC